AGTAGAAACGGCGAATGTGGATCGCGTCGGTTTCAAGCGGGAAGAAGGAAGAGGAGTAAGATGTAAAATAAATTAAGTCAGTCTCGTTTATCTTTCTGATCGTTTCGCACGCACCCGCGCTTTAAGTTTTTTCTCGCCGCTTGTTACCTTTTGAAACCTTATAATAAAACTTGTCATATTTTCCTGTGTTTAATTTGTATCGTTATTGTTTTCAATTTGGCAGTGTTTAAATATACTTTACTCACAAAATCTATTGTGAAGTTTCAAGTACCAATTAAGTTAGAAACCGACAGGAAATTGAAAACCCAAAGGAGGAAGAAAAACCCAGGAATCCACATCAAATTAACGACAGAAAGCAAAAAAAAAAAAATATAAATAAATTAATTAATGTGACAAACAAAAAACTGCAAAGAAAATGAGACTATTTATCACAGACTAATATAGTATGGATCACAGCTCAATAAATTGATTCTGCGACCGGGAGCACTGGCCAGCATTTTTCTGGACAAGCCTCCCACTTCCTCAGCTAAACTCTAGTTCCCCAGTCCCCCTTCCCGATGCAATTGCATTTGTCTACAAGGCACCGTTCAGAGTGACCGACAACTAGGTCAGCTCCTTGCGAGACGTCGTCACCTCGACCATTTTATATATATTTTTTTTAATTTGGTGGGCTGTACCGCGAGCTCAACGATCTCCTTTAGGCCAAGTCCTCCCGAGTGCCCGCAGACCGACAACATCAAATCGATTGCTCGTCGTCTCACAACACTTAATTCCTGCGATCTCTAACAAAAAGGTAAACAAACAAAAAATCAAATTCAAATATTCAATTACAAGGCGACGGAAATTTGCATCTTGCACCGATGGTCAGGTGTTCTTGGCCACTGCGTATCCACCCAACCTAAGATGCTTGGTAAGTACTATCACCGCATCACCCATAATTGGTCAGCATAGCCACTACTGGCGACTAAAATAATTCCATCTCCCCCACAGAAAAAAACCTAGCCATATAAGTAATATTTCACGTAAGTATATAAGACATTTCGTTTCCAACTATTTCAAATATTTCAATTAACCGCCGACTTACTTTTGTAGTGGTCAAAGCTGAATTTTTGAAACAAGGATCGGACACTCACCAATAAAAATGTTCTGCCACCTTTGTATCGGCAGAACTCTCTTTGCTCTCTCTTTTGTGACCTAATCCTAAGGAGCTGCATGGGAAAAGAAGGAACGCCGAACGGTATGAGAGATTTACACGCACAAACCCTTCATACTACTTAATTGCGACCTTTTTTAGCAAACGGTCAAACGCTAAGCTTTGGCCTAATTCACAACTAAATTGGACAATCGAGTATTTTAATTTCTTAAAAACAACACATTTCATTAATCAATTTTTAATTCCAGGAAATGGTGGTTGGGCTCAGCCCACCAGGGAACCGCACGGTGAGGAATGAAGGCGTATGGACTTGGCTGGCCACAGGCACGTATCCAGGGAGGGGGCCAGTTTCCAACTGCTACTGCCAGGATATGCTTGCGAGAAAAAAATTGATGAACTGGAAGAATTAGGTCCATACTTTCAAGACGAAATGCCATTGTCCGCAGTTCAAGCTGAGTACAAGTTATGGTGTGCCAAAATTTCATCAATTTACCCATCAACCGAAATTTTGAGACTGTTGTAGTGTTGTGATGGAACATTTTTTCGCGGGATAAATCTTCTTCTCAAGGTCATGGCTACTCTTCCAGTCACAACGGCTAGCGTCGTAAGAACGTTTTCAACAATGAAGAGGATAAAAACTCTACCTCGTAGTGTGATGGGCCACGACAGACTAAGTGCACTCGCGATGATGTCAATTCACTGAGATACTGTCGTTGATCCGGAGGAAGTTCTCGACCGTTTGGCGAAGAAAAAATCAAGGAAGTTACTCATTTAAGGTGTATGTTCTGAAGGAAAATACATACTGTATTCACATTTTGCTATTTGCAGATATTTTATGTGAAACATAAATAATGCTTCAATTTTTTTTTAACATTATAGTAACTGTTAATTGTAACCTTATACTTTGTACTGTACCTTTTTCTTGCACAATGAATCATAAAAGATCAAACGTCACGTACTGATTAAAGATTGATGTGTGATTTGCCTTTTTCTGAATTTATTCAAATAAGTCCACATTTTTTATTGATTTTTTTCCTTGAACCCCGGGCCACGGGGGCCCCCAAAATGTGTAAGAGTGAATATTTAAAATTTGATTTTTATTTGTAAAATGGGTAAATAATGTGATAAATAAATATTTCTTCTCACAATATTTTTTATACCCTTGCAGAGCAAAAGGGTATTATAATTTCAGTCAGAAGTTTGCAACGCAGTGAAGGAGACACCTCAGACCCAATAAAGTAGGTATATATATTCTTGATCAGCTTCACAATCTGAATCGAAATATGTATGTACGTCTGTCTGTCCTCCTGTCGGTTTCTATGTAAACTCGTCTCTCAGTTTTAAAGCAATCTTGCTGAAACTTTCCCAAAAGTTGTTTAGTTATTGCCCGCAGTATATAAGTCGGAACGGGCCGGATCGGCCGACTATATCGGATAGCTCCCATACGAGAGAATGAAATAAAAAATTCTCACGCCGTTGTTTTTGATCAGATCGACTTGATTTCTTTAAGATGGCGTTTTCGAACTGTTATTGAATTTCGGATTAAATTTGATCAAAATTAATGGAAATAAATTGATAACGTTGTTTTTTATCCCACGAGTATGATTTTTTGAATATCAAGTTTTTAAAAACTCTTATATTGAGAAAAAAGTTTCATAAAAATCGGACAACTATATCTTATAGCTGCCATAGGAAAGATCGAAAAATCTATATAGAAATAACGGAAATCAAATTGTAACATCGTTGTTTTTCATCAGACAAGCATGATTTTTGGAATATAGAGTTTTCTAACGACTCTTGATAACCGAATTAAATTTCATCAAAATCGGACGAGTATATCATGTAGCCGTCATTTGAACAATAGTCGAAAATATAGAAAATGAATAGAAAAATCGTCTTAGCTTCGATGTGGTTTAGCCTTTATGTATTTTTTTCGACATATTTGATGACGGCAAGGGTATAAAAGCTTCGGTTTGCCGAAGCTAGCCTCCATTCTTGTTTGTGGAAAATCTTTTCCTCCATATAAGGGCCTCCAAAAAATTGTTTTATACGGGGCCCCGACAAGGCACGCTACGCCACTGACACCACCTGAACCATTGAACGGCTTACTTATCGGCATGGATCCAGATTCTAAGGTGTTCCTGAAGTCAATTCGAACATTTAATTCATGCTTTCAAATGACATCGTTCGGAGCAACAATTAATGATATATAACTATAAGTAATATATTATAATAACTTAAAAATAATGTTTGCTGTTTGTTCTTTCTATATTCCCTCATGGTTTACAGCGCTCCAGATGACTTTTTAAATTTTGTACAGAAATTATAAAGTCATCTGGTGGCAAAACAACGTTTGTCGGGTCAGCTAGTATGTATATATAAGAAAGACAGAACGCATTCGTTAAGTATCACAACTATTAGATATCCGTTGCTCAAATAAAAACTTTTATTAAGCGTAACAAGTAAGCAGTTCTGAAACGACCCAATGGCTAGTGGGCGTAAAGGTAGGCGTGGAAAACTTTCGTAAACATTTGCCATCGTATTTCTGATTACATTACATTACATTTTCATATACTTTTTCCGTTGCGTATTCATCAATACAATGTTCACGCTCAATCCCAATATTTTAGTCTTATAGTCCTCGTAATCTTCACGTTGAAACAAACATAAAGGATTCAACAGCGAGGCAGTTGGACGTAAAAGGATCTACATTTTTTATTCCAATATTCCAACTTTTGTAGTTACCGCGAAGTCCGCGTTCTTACAGACTCGTCAAATATCCTGATATACATACATACATATGTTATACAGTTTTAAGCTTAAATACCGGGACATTAAACATTAAAAAAAAGTTTTTCCTTTTATTTGTAATTTCTATACTTCTTGTTGAAATCAGTCAATCACTGTCAAAATTTTAAAGTAAAACAGTTCGTTTTACTTTTGTAATTAAGGCGTTAAGGTACGTGGTTTAACGTCATAAAAGGTTAACAAGCATTTAAAACACAGTCAATTTATTTTTTATATTGAAAGTCCCAGAATTTTTTGATTTTTTTTTAACTTAAATTTACTTAAGCCTAAACAGACTCCTGTGAACTCTAGAAATACGGTGTGTTTTGTTATAGCGAAATGTTCTAGGATTTAAAAAGCATTTATTTTGTTTAAAAACAAAGGTAAAATTGCGCTTTAGCGGCTTTTGCTAAAAATGGTCTAGGAATTTTTTTTTTTTTTTAATGGATACCTTGGGGCCTAAACATTAATAAAAAAGTGGCGGAAAGCTTAAATTTTAATTATTTATGTGTTAAAATTGCAATTATTACTGCCGCGAGGCAACCCGTTTTAGAACATTGCCATGTTTTTCTAGCGAAAAACTTTACCGTTGAGAATGTGTTGTGGATGAAGAGTGCTGCAATTGTGTGAAAATTTAAAAACAAAAGAAATTTAACAATTTTACCATGTCAGGCACTGCCAATTTTACTACTGAGCGCTGTAAAGGTTGCGAAATGACTCAGAGTGATTTTATAGTACTGAGTGAATACCCAGAAAAGCTATGGCCAGTTGCTTTTTTGCTATTTTTACAAATAAATACTTAGAAATCAAGCTTTCCGCCACTTTTTTATTAATGTTTAGGCCCCAAGGTATCCATTAAAAAAAAAAACAAAATTCCTAGACCATTTTTAGCAAAAGCCGCTAAAGCGCAATTTTACCAAATAACCAATTTTTGATGAACCCCAGTTTTAACTAACATTACTTACGTAAGTTTGTACAGTAGGTCAAAGTTTTAATGTCCAAATAGTTTGTTGAGCCACTCCTATATACCTTATGGGGACAGAAATAACACCATACAATATACATATGATCTGACCGTGAACATTTTTGAACAAAATGCACAAAATGGTTTATTTCATTGATAATAAGGACTTTTACAAATTATCGCTTCCTGTGCATGTGTTCACGGTTCTTGCGCTTCCAGGCCGCACGCCTAGATCCACCAATTGTTTGGGAATATCTGTATCCTTTTCCAATTCCCCGCGAACTCTTTCCGGCTGAAGTAAGACCACGCAGTTCACGATGCTTGTGGACATGCTTGCAAATCCAGTTGATTTTTGGATCGCGACGAATAGCACTGTGATGAGTATCGATCAAGATTACCTCAAAGTACTTATAAGAAGCATCTTGGGCAATCCAATACGAGTTTAAAACTCGCAACCCACCAAGTCTACGGCCAACACGTTCCTAAAAATAAGTAACATTGTTCGATTAAGTATATATTTTAGTACGGCAAAAGCATGTTTTGCACAAACAACGTCAGACATCTAAGGAAGTTTAATCAACATGAATTTCTGTCAAATTTTTTTATCATCACTTACAAGACGTAAAAAAAAAAAAAAAAACATGGGAATTCTTACCTCAGCAATCGATTGTAGTCCACGATAGGGCTTCAATTGGTTAACACCATGACTTTTAGGCTTTCCGTAAGTGCAGCCCTTGGGCACCGGACGCTTGCGGCCCCCTCGGCGCACACGAATCCTATAAATAACAAAGCCTTGTTTTGCGCGGTATCCCAAACGTCTTGCCTTGTCTGGACGAGTGGGCCTGGGAGAACGGTGCAGTTTGGTTAATTGGCGGTACTGCCAAACGCGAATACGCAACAAGTATCGCATAACATCGCTCTGTTTCTTCCTATACAGTTCCTGCATGTACCGGTAGGCCCCCATCTTTGCAAATTGATAGACCTAGTAACAAATGCATTCGTTATTTAGTAACCGTCACATCATCGGTCCATCAACTCTTTCCATTGAAAACTTATTCCAATAAAAGACATTTTGTTCATCTATAAAACAAAATGTTATTGAGCGAAAAATATTCTAATGGAACAATGCACAAGATACATATTTAATTCAGAAATCCATAATCATCTACAAAATAATCAGAGTGGTGCATGGAAAATGTCATCATTCAACAAAACAATATACAAAAAGAAATATTACAAAAAAAAAAATACCCAAAACTAACACGGGAAAAAAAAAAAATTACTAAAGACACGACCAACTTACAAGGCGGTATAAATCCAAAAGAAGGAAGTAAGCACTAGAAGGTACGGAGACACCAGTGTATACAGCGTTGCTCTGGAAATCACAAGCATCGATTATTTAAAGTTAGCCCATCTTCTGTGCGAAACGATGGCAAAGAACGTTCCCAAATAATTTAATTATATGATATGCGCACAAGATATGTTTGCTTAAGGGTCAATGCTGATAGTAAACTAGACATCTGCATGAGTGGCAAAAAACACACATTGAAATGCACAATGCTCAATATGAGTTGAGTGAATTTGAGAGCAAAGCCAAAATGGTGTGAGAGGGTTGGCTTTCTTACGCTTACTCATTTCCACAAAGAGCAGGTAGAAGGAAACGAATTAAGTGAAATGAGAACGTTGAAAACAGAGACGTTTCATTCGAATGATTCGAGTTGCAAATGTAAATAAAAGGAAATAAAAACAAATTAAATGCAGTGTAAATATTTATGGCTTTTCTTTTTATTTATTTCTAAATTAACAATAACTTACAACTAATTTAAATTGGAAAGCAAAAACATTATTTTTTTTGATATTTTCTGAGTTAGTGGCAAACGTGGGAAACTGTCTTTTTAACCAGCTGGCCTCTGCGACAGTCCCTAAACAACTTGTTGCAGAGGCGGAATAAGCAAAAGCCGTCTTGCATTTAATAATACACTAATTTACACAGAGAGGAATGTATGCCTTTAGACGTATGTTATGAATGTAATCATGCAGACGTCTATAGTAAACATATTGACGCGTTTCCGCGTATGTATCGTATGTTGAAATATCCAATTTTACAGGAGAAGGTTTTTTTTTTATTTCATCTCTTAGGAGCACTGTAACATACGATAAAATTGAAACTTAATTTTTATCGGAACTATAATGTTTTCAGTTATAATATTTCACAAGGTAGTGAGACATTAGGAGCCTAACAATTTTGCATTAAAATCTCAATTTCGAAAAAAAGCGATGATACTGTCGCGGAAATGCGTCGATACGTTTGCATCGAGTTCCAAACAAATATCATGCGTGAAAATGAGTATGATTTGTTTATTTATCAAGCTTTTTATTTTTGTAATTCCGCACGTATGTACACAAACAACTTCGTTTTCCCCTTTCCGTTTCTATATGTCATCTGCACTAAGCAGAAACACCTTTATGTGGTTTTTACATCAAAATTCAAGCTAATTTTGTTGTTACGTTGTCGGCATGCGTTAACTTGAAACATTTGGTCAGAGCTTAAATAAAAGGTAAAATTGCGCTTCAGGGGCTTTTGCTAAAAATGGGCTAGGAAATTTATTCTTTTTAAAAAAAGCTACCTTGGGACTTAAACATTTATAAAAAAAAAGTGGCGGAAAGCGTGAATTCTTATTATTTATTTGTTAAAATAGCAATTTTCACTGCCGCGAGACAACCCGGTTTTAAAACAATGCCATGTTTTTCAAGCGAAAAACTTTACCTTGAAGAATGTATTGTGGATGAAGAGTGCTGCAATTGTGTGAAAATTAAAAAAAAAAATAATAAAATTAAACAATTTCACCATGTCAGACACTGCAAGTTTTGGTACTGAACGCTGTAAAGATTGCGAAATGACTAAGAGTGATTTTATAGCACTGAGTGAAGATCTAGAATAGCTATGGCCAGTTGCTTTTTTGCTATTTTTACAAATAAATAATTAGAAATCATGCTTTTAATGTTTAGGTCCCAAGGTAGCTTTTTTAAAAAAGAATATGTTTCCTAGCCCATTTTTAACAAAAGCCCCTAAAGCGCAACTTCACCTTTGAGTTGGTCGTAAAACAATTAAATTGGTCACAAGTAGGTACATATTACACTGTGCGACAAAATTTAACAAAATCTTTGTTTAAGTTACTTTTTTGATTGTTTTCGGTTAAGGTGCATAAGTTATGCACAAAAATATTCATGCCACCTTCTAAGTGATAGGATTTCTTTTTTTATGATAAATTTAATGAAATTATTATTATGAAAATATTTAACACAAAATATTATTTTTTTTTTTACTTCCAATAAACTATTATTTTTTTTTAAAGTGAAATTTTTTTCTGATTTTTTTTGGCTTTTTCAGAGGTATCCTCGCGTAACAAGTTCCATACGTAGTCGCCCAGAGTATAGAGCTGGGAGAAAAAAATTTAAAGCATTGTTATAAAAGCCTAACGGTATATTTGCTTAATACATTTTAATTAATAGATATTGAACTTGCATGACCGCTTATAACAGTGAAAAAATATTTTCCCAATATGTGATTATAAGGCTGTGAAATATGCAAAACCGCGCGTTTTTGGGACATTTGAAAGAACTGAAAAATAAAAAAAATCAACTAAAACAATTTTTTTGTCGCACAGTGTAACCGGTGAATTTGAATGTAGAGATGGTAGCATTGCGAGTGCGAAACGATGTTGAGAAAATACGAAGTACCCAAAAGCTACAAAAGGGTAAATAATATTTTAGTATTTAAAATACACAATTCGGTCACTCTGGGCGGTAAACATGGTGTCTATGTATCAATAGCCACAAACAACGTCTCTATTGCCAATATACGATTTCCGAAAATTTAATTTGATGGTCGACGGTTTTTTAGTCGACTATAAATAAATAAATAATATCAAATATTACAAATTATTTTAAATAGCTAAAAAAATAGCACATTTTTTTTATGAAATAGTCAACATAACAGGCTCCTGCAAAATTGAGTGGTTTCTAGCAGGGACTGTAACGGTTATAATTAAAAAAGCAAAAAATTACAAAATTAAAGTTATTTCTTAATTTTTACGTAAAAAAATTGATTTTTAATACTTAAAATTAATTTTAATAATAAAAAATTAGTAATAATTATTAAATATACATTTTTATATAAAAATTACGCAATAACTTTTATTTTCAATTTTTATTATATAAATTGAAAAATAAAAATTATTCGATAACTTTTATTTTAAAAATCTATATATGGGACGTTCTTTTACAAATCGTACACCTTTTTTTGCGTCACAATTCCGATTTTTGTCAAAATTTTTTTTGAAGTGTAGGAAGCAAAATAAAAAGACACGTGTATCTGTATTTTGCTTAAAAATTTTTTTTTACAAAGTTAGGATTTTTGACAATATCAATGGTCTTCTCTATCCTTGAACACGTTAAATCAATTATCTCTTGTTCTATTAATCTTATCGTTACAATTTTTTTTTATTATTTAGTTCAAGAATTCAGCTTTCAAAAAGTAATTTTATTTTTTAATTTAATTTTTTATTTATAAGAATTAGTAACAAATTAATCATTATATCGACATTTCAATTACGATCCCCACAACTTATTTAATTGAAAAAAATCAGTTTATTATCCCTATGTTTCGCTCAATAAACAGAAAAAGGAATTAGAGTGGGGTCTTCATCAGATCAAGAGAAATTATAGTACCTTGTGTATCTAGTGCGGTAAGAACGAGATTACACTCGTGTGAAGTACACGAGTGTGGTCTCGTATTTACCGCACGTGGCACACACGGTGCTTTATGTCCGTAAACTCCTAAAAATTTGGCATTTTGAGTGCTTGTAGAGCACTATTTAAGAATAAATTTTTTTTTCCGAGGGAAACGAGGAGTGCGAGGGTAAAGGGGGTGGAAGGGGGGGTATCGATTTTAACAAATAACTTTCAGCTTGTTATTATATATTTTCTTTATTATTCTTTACTATTCTAACAGTACTCTTTTTACTTCACTGTTCACCGTTTTAGATTTTTAATAAAATAAACTAGAATAAGCTAAAATTTTTCAGTTTTAAATGCTATTTTGATGTTATGTTATGTTAAATCTGCGGTTATGCACTTTGAAACGTGAAAATTTTAGCTTATTCTTGTTACGACCCGCTTATCGAAGGGGCAAGGCCGGCTAGCCAGTCGACTCAGGGAGGGATTTTTCCCCATCTGCCCACAGGTCGCACCATAAATCCCAGCTGATTGGGAATCCAAAATAAACAAACAAAATAAAAAAAAAACAAAGGTAAATAAAACGCTAACAGAAACATTACTCGAATTTATAATTGACATTCACCTTTCATCTCTCCTGGACGCAGGCTCGGGACATGGCTGGAAATATCCTTGGACGCACCCTCCCTTACTGACCCCCAACTGGACATCATCTTGTTGGATGCCCCTGGGCGTGCGGCTATCTTGGCTTACTCCTGGTCACGGCTCGTCCTGTCATCTTCCCCCCCAACATCAAACGCTTAGCAACTCATATTCATAACAACATTTACTTATTACACATACTAATTTATCAACCTAATTTTTACAATCATTTATGGTTTCTTTCTTTTTTTGTATTTTTAGAAATTTACGGGCCAAAGCAAAATTATAGTGGATTCATATCATCCAAAAGTGTCAACGACGATGAAGACGAAAGAGGACAAGGACAACGAGGACACGAGAATTCGGTAAGGGTATAATATTGTAATTAAAGAACTTTTAATTAACCCACATTTCCTTTCAGCTTTTCCCTAACTGGAGCTCCACTAAGGGTCAGGGGCTGAGACGGGTGATTGTTGGAATATAAATTTATACCCCCACACAGATCGGCCTGGTGCCCTCAACCAAACACATATATATTTATAATTAACTTAAAATTAGGATATTTTGTATATTTTAAAGGATTAATTGCCTGGACCCGTTATTTTTACATGTTTGTTAAATTTTAAATTAGTTAGTGATTAATTTGGCTTCGTGATTGTTAATGAGGAACGTTAATTGATTTGTTATTTAATTCTTATTTCATTTTTCTTTCATTTACGTGCCCTTTTTTTTTATAATTTTAATTATGTGCTTTTAATTTTCTATTGTCTTTTTGTTTTGTTTTCGTGCGTTTACCGGCTTTTTATAATGCCATATAAATAAATAAATATGTTCA